AGCAGCAATTAGTCACGGTGCTCTTGATAAATCGCCGGAATCTCCTTCGTTCCCTTCACCGATGGGTGCCAGAAAGAGACAGAGAAGCTGCTCTAAGTCCCTGGGCTACGTGGACCCTTCGCAAATATCCAATAACAGGAGACTCCTGTGTGCGTGCCGGTGTTGCTGCTGCTGGTGGTGGCTTCTCATCTACTGTACCTGCGCCCTCGGGGCATTAACCTTCACCTATCGAAAGGAGATCGGCTTACCTTAATAATCGTAGGTAGAGGAGACGGGAGAGCCCGTCGTTCCAAGGGGGTTAGGACGTTACCGGGCCATGGAACGCGCGCGATGCCACGGATGATGATCAGAGAGAAAGTAGAGCTATAGTAGGGTGTTTCCATGGCGCTCGATATACACGGGAAAACGTTTCGTTATATGGACGAAGAGAGAGAGAGAACTCGTGGGAGATGTAATGAAACATTCTTAGCCTCCTCCAACCGGCGCGCCCGTTACTGGAATATCATCCGATTTTCGAGCACTTGGGGGGGAGGCGACAATTGATATTCGGTGACTTTGTCCGAGTTAGGTCGATGGGCTCTCGAAGGTGCGATTGGTATTGGTGGATGGGACTCTTTGGTTTTTTTAGGTGAACTGTGGTGTGCTTGTAGTTGGGGGTCAGGTTGATCCTTGTTTTGTCCTGGGGAATTTTTGGTGTCTCTGGGTCAGTTGGTGGATCTACAGAAAGGTGTTGATACTTTCGAACTTTTTTCAGCAGTCAGGTCTTCTAGAACATGTTTACTAAACTTTATCGTTATTTTTCTCAGTTACCACATATGATATATAAATGGAATAAAAACGAAAAGACAGCTAAATATTTGCTCTACCTCGTCTATTTTTTTTCAGAATTGTACAGAAATTGTTAAGGATAGAAAAAAAGAATTTGTTTTTGGTGGATGCATTTTACAAAACAACCTTGTGAGTGAGACCCACCAAGAAAATCAGGAGTAATACTCTATTATGTAACTATTATCTGTAAAATAAATTCAGAAAGATCGGGTTGGTGGAACATAGTTATAGTTATTCCAAAAAGGACAATTAAAATTTCGATAGTGCACAAGTAACGTGTCTTTCACACGAAAACAGGGATTGTAGGAAACTGGGTGTAAAGGTCGAATAAACTGCTGTAATAACCGAAATCTCGCCACAAAAAACGCCCGTTCCTTCGGAATAAGTATCGTTTTATTAATATCTCTGTCGTTATTTACAAAACTTTGTAATAATCTCTAATTTCTTCACCGTCACACGCTACTCGCTATTCGTCAATCTATTATACCTTGACGTTCGTAAATGTGTACATGTGTGTCTGTATGTATATTTATGTGTCCTGTGTGTGCGTGTGTGTGTGTGTGTGTGTGCAATCAGATGCGTTTACATTAATGTCGATAATGCTCTCGAGAGTGGTTTTTTTTTTTCTTATTTTTCCGCTAAATCTTGGTTTACAATTCGAACGGGAACACCAGAGGGTATGGCGTGTGAAAGATAGCAAGAAGAAGAATTCCCAGGTTTTTTTCCCAGTTTTCGAATCTCCCAATCTCCAACTTTTCTACACCCTCACTCGCCCCCCACCCCAGACCCCCGTGTTCTCGTTCAGGTGAGCCCACATCGGAGTCTAAAAGACCCGCGGTGGCACATTCTTCTTATTTACACCATATCGGAAGGGGGGAGGATGCACGGCCTGTGACCTCTTTATATCGCTTGGCGCACGCTTTTCTCTCGGCCTCCGACCGGCAAGCACCCTCCCCCCTCCCTTCTACTTCTTCCTTTCACTCCCCCGCCGGAGGATCGATTCTATTCGCGTGCAAAACCGTCGCCGCGTCACAATTCTCGAGCGAAACGGCCGCAATGCACACAGCCCACCCATCCCCATTTTCCACCCCCTCCCCCTCCTTCCAACCTATGTACAGATACGCGTGGCCGCTTGAAACGCGCGGTCGCGACACGATTTCCGCTCGTGGATTCTATGGAACGAGCCAGTTCCGACGCTCGATTAATCCGTTTCGACCATTCTCCACGAGTGGTTGCAGCACCCCCTCCCCTTTCCGTCTTTCGTCGCGCACAGTGGTTCAGAAACAAAATTCAGCGCAGCTCTTTTACGGTTATTTAGTTGAGGAAATACGAAAAATGTTGAACCTTGTAATCGAATAGAAGTGGGTAAATGAAGTCGGACGTTTTAAGAATTTTAGGAATCCTCTTCTATGACGTCAGCGATTCGTTAAAGCTGCGTCTACACTATATGAATAGCAAAAGAGTGTTATGTAACAAATGGTTATATGCAGCTTGCTACACATTTTATAATTTGTTAGGAGAGTGTACCTTCTGGACAAGTTTGTAACAAGTGTGTATAATATTTCGAGTCTTGTTTTTCGGTTTTTGACTGATGACTGGAATGGATCCAATAGAATAATGCATGGAATGAATCTTCCAAGATTAATAATAAGTTGATTCGAGGTTTTTTGGAAGATAAAAGGAATTTGTTTTTGACCGTTTGAGCTGCTAGATTTTGATTCTGGACCAATGTGCGTTGTTGACGAGAACGTCGATGGTTTCTCTGACACCGGTTCTTCTGGGTTCTTTGGGCAGAAACTGGACTCCAGACGAGAGAGCTTGGTTGCGCCACCAATTCCGACACGGTCGAATGACAGAATTTCGAGGGTTTCTTTTGTAGTCGTGGTTACGATTCGGACGAGTGACCGCTTTCGGGTAGAATTTCAATTGGAATGGTACAAAGTGAAATTTGGCAGTATCTATGAGCGTCATCCCGACCTTTAAACCCTTATTCGAATTTCTAAATTTCGATGGTATTCTAGAGCCATTATCGTCTGTAACTAAGTAAGTGCAAACGAATTGGCTTTGCAACATTTAGAAACTTGACGAGAACAACAGAGGATTATATGAATTTTCGAATAATTATAACAACACGCAGTGAAGCCTGCTTACTTTAAAGATTTGGGGAGGGCCGCTTCGGCCCCTATAATCCGGAGAAGGGTTAAACGGTTAAAGTGAGATTAAATAATTGTTCTCCCAAGTGTCTGCTCCGTTTAATTTTTCCTTAATCGCTTTTGGTCGCGATCACTAAACCGATTCGTGGATAGTAAAGTCGCCCTCGAACGGGTACGTACCAGGCGCGTCCATTCACCGGAAACTCGACTCCTTTCTCTCTCCTCCTACCTTCCAATCGTCGGTTGGGGCGACAACAAACCTCCATGGAACGCGGTTATTGCAACAGTGTCGCGAGCTTAACACTCGGGTGACGGTTCTCCACGGTTGAAAACCGAGCGACCCCCGGGGATCAAACGGCCTATAAACGGTGTACGGTTTCCTACGGAATTGGAATCGACGCGTTTCGAGTGGCCCACGCGGACGGATTATTCTGTGACAATCCGCTTCGAATGTTTTTCATTGTATGGTACGTTTGTTTCGTGTATTCCGCCCTCTGTATTGCGCGGACAGGCCAGCCACGAAACCGGCCGATCTCGCTCGTTTCACGCACGTTTTTGTCACTACCACGAGCGATCGATGTCTTTTGATTCGAAATGATTTTTCGTTACCTCGGGACCCCTCTTCGACTCGAGGAGACGACCTTGGATTAAAACGAAAAATTTGTAACACAACGAAAATACGTTGATATCCACGAATGTTATTCCATTAACCCTCGAACAATTTTATGGAAATTAACGGCTTCTGACAACTCATGTAAGTTAGTAATTCTTTCGATTAATTCGAATGACAAAAAAAACGAATTCACGAAGAAGGGGTCCTATAGCCGGATAAAGGAGTCAAAAGTGCCCTTAGACCGAATTGGATTTGTTGATGGGCCAGAAAAAAGAATTTGTACCAATTTTCAACCCTCTATCTTGAACTGGAAGGTAGTAATACAAACAATTCGGATTTTCATTTTTTCCTCAAGGTTCCTGATCGCTCTGTAGTACCCACTCCCCTTTATGTCCTGTTTTTTTCTTATACATGACGGTCTAAAGATACATGGTCGGCAGAGTGCTAGAAAGGTAGCTCTCCGAGATGTACATCGTGGATACCACGATTGAAGGTTTCGCGAAATATATCGATCAACGCCAGGACGTACGAACGGAAAGTACTTAATCGCCAGTCTCTCTTGGACCGCGGTGGTTCCTTTGTCACCGGCGAACTGGCGTCGATCTTTTCGCTGGTCATCGTCGTTCCAACTCGGTTTGAACTCCATCCGCGACATGGAGTCGAGTAGCGCAACGAACCACGGCACCCGAGTCGTATCGATCTATAATCCCGAGAACTTTCTACAGCCTCGAAAGGGCTGAGATCCTCTCGGGCACCTGAAGAAACCACCGAGACACGATCCTTGGTCTACTGTCGAGAACGATGATAAGTACTTCTTGGCTTCGTCAGGCTCAGTGTCCCGATGTCCTAGTAGCCCTGCGACACCAAATATCACCTGGTCCAAACCTAGTTCGTGTGTAACATTCGAAACGATTCGGGTTCCGTGTGCGCGGCTGGGATATCACGCGCGCAAGAACGATGTCGCGAAACGGTGATATCGCATTGTCTCTGAATTAACCGTCCCGCGGTCGTTGTAGCGTGGACACCACAGGGAATCCCCTGGATGCAACATGATTCTCTTCCACTGGACTGTCCCTCTGAACGAGAGGATATTCTCTTTGTCCCTCGGTTTCACGATGCTCAACGAGGTATATAGAAGGATCTGAGTCTTATGTTCCAATGAAAAAGGTTCACAGCTCTCCCCCACAACATCCCCCCCCCCCCCCCAAAAACTTCGTCGGGTGTTGCGTCCTTTATGCGTCGAACCACAACCTGGACAGGTTTTATTTTGTTCGTTTTATTTTTCCCTTCCGGAAACGATTGGCTTCAGCGTGCGACGCGTTTATCTTCTAAGGGCTGTCCTCGATCGGGTACCAGGCGGCAGGACCAGCGGCGGACGGATTTGCCACCGCCGCCGATGGCATGTACTACCAGGCCCGACTCTGGAACGGCAGGTAACCGCCGCACTGCGGCTGCTGTTGCTGCTGCATACTCTGTTGCGCCCCGGCCCTCGTGTACGAGCAATGCTGCAGGCTCTGGCTGGATGTCATCACGTGACTCACGCCTACCACCGAATGATGGGAAACGGACGAGGCCGCGTGATGGGAACCATGGGGGCTGGAGGCCGCGGTCAGATGGGGGGCAGGACTGGCCAGAGCAGCGCTGGGCCCGCCGCGGCTACCCTCGTTCCCGCCGCCACCGCCACCGCCGCCGCCGCTACCGCAGGGCTTGCCGTCCTTCACCAACACCGGGACAGCCACCCGTCGTGGCGAGCTCGCGCTCTGAAACGGAAGAAATCAAAAGGTTGGTTAGGATGGTCCGAAGTTCCGGGTGCTAACAATGTAGAGATCTCTCTGGGATGTGTAAGTCTGGATGATGGAATTTAGAGCCGAAGGATCTGGGGGGATTGTAGCTGTAGGAATGTTTTTGTCGAAGTCACAAACGAACCCTGCTATATGGTTCTGGGAATAACTGAAAGAATTATAAACACCGATATCAATTACAACCTAAAACGTCGCCGTTGATATCCTCTAGACTTTAGCTTTTTAGCTACCGACAAGTTACAGAGTCATCTCTGTTTCCTAACAGGGGACTTTACCACCCATTACACACTTTCCCTTTATTTTCGACATTTGCTCTTGAAAATATTAAGATTGCAGGTCCTAATTCTGATCAGCATTCAAGTACCTTTAGGTCTTTGAATGTCCAACGTCTTGGGTTAGTCTACACGCGGATCGCGGTGTGCAAACGCGGGCCAGAACTCCGTTGCCAGCGCGCGCTAGTTGTACAGCGAGAACCGGTCGTAAGAAAACGTGGGACGTGAGGTCTCGTCGGGGGGGCTTCTGTGTTCCGAGCAAACACGTGGGCCTTACGGTGGGCACAGGTACTTAACCAGCGCGATACGTCGTGATCATCGTTCAAGCGTTACCAGAGCCTACGACTCTCTCTCTCTCTCTCTCTCTCTCTCTCTCTCTCTCTCTCTCTCTCTCTCTCTTTCTTTCTTTCTCTTTCTCCCTCATTATGAATAAACAGTACTGGCTACCGTGGACCAGGTTCCGGGCCCTGTTGGCCATCGAGCCCCCTCCCCCCACTCTCTCTCGCGTGTTCCTTTCCGTTCGGAGGGAGTCGGTACGGCAAGCGGGACCCCACGGCATGCCAAACAGAAGCCGAGGCAAGCCGGCCGAGTACCTGCCGGGACGACCACTCAGCTGTATCAACATTCGGTACACGACATTCCTCTTCGATCTTCTCCGCGGCAGCGACGCTTTAATAATATAATCGGGTCTCGAGGAATACCTATAACGCCCTCGATCTCGCATGGTCGAGAAGACTGTCGACTTTCTATAGGAGCACGACCGACCGTGTCTTGAACAGCGTGGGACAGACAGATGATGGAAGATGGGTGGTGGGGTGAGTATCTGTCGCAATAAGGAGGAACAGGAGATGGTACTGGTACGGAAGAAGATATTTCTAAAGGAGTACAAAATTTGTGAGCGGAAAAATTCGATGGAATAGAATGGAGTAGACTGGTGTCACGGGCTATGTTAGTATAGCTGTACGATAAATCGCATCGTCTGTGAGCCGTTTTAGGAGTAAGGTCCTCCCCCACCCGAACACGATGTAATTATATACAAACTGATAGGGTTAGTTAACGAGAGTCAGTGAACTTGATATACTTTTTTCGTCGTGTACCTTAAGCTCATTCCCAAAGGGATCTTTCCATGATTTCCTTGACCTATGTCCAAGGATACTAAAAAAAGGGGGGCGTGAGAGGGCATGCCGCGCGCAACAGCCCAGTCGATTCGGTTCTCGAGTGGCCCACGACAAAACGAATTTACGTGTGCACGCACGTCGCGCCGCCGTCGATTCGGCCGCGAGGCATAAGTGCGCAGGGTAGGCAGCGTGCCCGTGCACTTCACGCTGACAAAGTGACGATTACGCTAAACGCAATGACGGTCGGCGCGCGCGTCACGCGTCACGCCACTTTAGCCACTTCAAACGCGCGTTAAGCGATTTCCGGCGAAAATGGCCGTGCTTAGGAACGGAGTAGTACGTGTTTATGAGCGAGGGTAAGGCGAGAAGGGGGAGAAGGCTCGACCACCGACGCATAATGAGGCTCAATGCCTGCCCGTGATTGGATTCTCGGGAAACACATTCCGGCCACCGTGCCCCCACCCCCCCTTCGGCCTCTTTACACACGGCTCCTTGTGTTCTTTTTTTCCCTCGGAGGAGAAAAATTATCGCGTGGTACGCGGCTGGCCTGTTTTTTTTTTTGAGGTCGAGGACTCCACCGCGGTCGAATTTTTGTTTTCGGAGGAACGTGTTAGCTGGTTCAGTGAAATCGAAGGAACACTCGTCGTTGCGAACTCGGATGTGTTCGCGTGAATAGTACTGTTCCTGTGGAATAAGGTCTCGAGAATGGGAGAACCTTTAGTCGTGTGTGTATTTTATCTTGCGAAAGGGACCGCTTCGTCCAGGAACCTGCCAGTGGACTGGTCACTAAAGTTATATGTATACCTAGTAGTTCCTGCTTTAGACACGGGGGATATTCGATGGTCGATTAAGGGCAGTATATAGAGTTCTTGCGGGAATGGTACTGACTCAGAAGCACTTCTAGTGGTGAATGCAGGAGGTGTCGTCACACGTATGTAAGTATGTTGTACATTTAAATGTTACACGCGCATAAAAATCGGTAGTGTAGCGATCACAAGGTACAGCACAGCCATGGAGATTGAAAGGCAACGATACTCGTTTCAAGACGTATGAAAATTACAGTTGTTCATGTCTACGCTATACGACCGTCCTAACCTTCAAAATCGAAGTGACCGACCACAACGATCGTTTCGATCGCTCTTTGACACGGAAGTATATCGTCACGACTCGTACCTTTCTCTAGTTATTCACGAAATCGATCACGCGATTTAGACTCTGTATTCGAAGATTCGTAGAACAATTAAATCGCGAGAGTCCGAAAAAGAGAGCGAAACAACATCTCGAGTAAAATAACGCGAGGAACAAAAAAAAAAAGTCAACGGTCCGATTTTACTGGGGGGCTCGGTTTGTTTGCCGGTTATCGAAAGAGAGAAAGAGAAACCGCCTAATGTAATTACACCCGGGTTAAAACATCGGTTATTAGATTGAAAAACCACTTCCTCGTTTACGGAGCCCATTGAATTCCATTCGTCGCGGAAACGAGAGGGCCTCCCACCCTCCTCCACCCCCTCTGCCCGGCAGAAATCTTTTAATATCTCCTCCCGCGTTCTTTGTTCGGCCGAGGCTTCTGTAAAGAACGAGACGTAGACGAAGAGAGAGCAAGAGAGCCGTCACGGCTCCAGCTTTTTAGTTAATTACATCAATCCCCACGGCCGAGTCGACGAGTGTTTTTCCACGGTGGAGACGATGCATTCGCGTGGAACCCGTCGCATTTAGATATCCAATCCGGTCTGGTTGCAACCGACGCGATCTTCGCGATCTTTGTCGAGTACAATTTATATATTTCGCGGAATGATGTTCTGTGCCCTCGTACCCTCAATCGGGCGATACGTCGCACAAATTACACAAAGTGTGTGCTAGGCTTTAATTTGCAACTGTAGAAGTTCCATCGAGAAAAAGGTGGGGGTTCCTGGACCTATTTAAGAACCTTCCTTCGTACGTGTGTAATTTTGGTTGACTCCGGTTTGAGTGGCGTGTAAGTAAAGAAAATGCTTCTGTGTATAAACAGAAGATAAATTCGATGCCTAAACGGAAAGTGTAGCGTCAGTCCCTAGGGATCGACATTGCGCTTAACGTGCTAGCTCCCTGTTAACTCCTTATCATACGATTCCTTATTTACTTTTACTTTTCTTCCCCTAATTACTTTACTATTAATACTTGTTTTGAAGCAAAATCCATCCGATGTTTATCTTAAATATACAGTAAATCCTCGATGAGTGTTCGACGGCTCCTCGACACTGACAAGGAAATGTACCCAGGTGTAACACAGTTTAGAATCGTCACAAGTCTGACTCGATGTTAGAAAGCGAGGGGTTGATTCCATAAGAACAAGGCCTAAAATCCTCGATAGTCAGAACCGTACAGGCTCCTTTAGGTAAATCGTACGACAAATCGTGTCGTTTATGGGAGCCTTAAGACTACTGTTTAGGTGTCTATTCGATCCCCAAACGGAAGACACCTGCAGTGACTGCTTTAAGGTTCCAAGATGGCGTCCACCGTTACGACTCTCCGATTCTCAGACGAAAAACAATGTCGTGGTCACGAAATCTAGACACGGGAGAGGTTTCGTTCCCGAGAGATCGACGTCTCGAAGAGGTAGGAGGGGGTTAAAGGGTCAGGGGGGGGTTAATCGATATCAATACTCGTATTCGTAACCCCGATTCGCGTCCAGGTGTTGTGCCTGACTGTACCCACGGCAAGATGGCGACCGGTCCTCGAGAGCGCCCGTTTCCGCGCTCCCCTGCAGGATACCTCCCTCCCTCTCAACTTCCCCCCCTCCCCTTTACCCCACCTATGCTCTCACTCTGTCTCCTTCCAGGCCGGTTCACCCTACCCAGCCACCGTCTTTCTTCTTCTTTTTTCCCGGTGTTCGTTCGTTCGTTCGTTCGCTCGCTCGCTCGCGTCGCCACTTGAAATTTTTTTACCGCCGCGAGGGTAGGAAATGGAATAAAACGAAAGAAAGAGGGAGGGGAAAAAAAAGAGGAGAAGAGGGAGAAAAAAAAATCGGGAGCTCTGCCTGCCAACCCGTCGTCGTCGTCGACGTCGACGCTTGTCGTCCGTTGCTCGTCGTTCCACGGATTTCTGCACGGTAGACGATTAATTCTGTTTAAACTTAACTGTTAAACCGACGAGAAACTGTTTTGGGATCCTGATTTTCAGATTGATCCTCGGGTGATCGATCTGTTCACTTTTTGTCGGTTCTCGTTGGGAGATTTTTGTTTAACCCTTAACCCAGTAGGTGTCCGATACTACCCGCTATATAGTGGGGACACTTTAAAATTGATTCATTGATATTACACTCGGACTGGCTTGTTAACCCTTCAAGTATTTTATTTCATTATGAAAACATGCGAGTATTATTCTCAGAAAGCTGATGGGTGGACTCGAGAGTATGAAGAAGTTGAAACGAAAACTTACATTAATAGGGTTCCGTTTAACACTAGACCCACCAGACTCGTCAAAATGACGGATTTTAAATTACTCATTTAAAGAATTACTGAAATCACAAAGATACTTTTGTTGGAATTTCCGTTGACTTTCGTTTTCTTATACACATCCCATTAGACTA